TAATTTTCATCGTTTTTAATGATTTATTTTTTATAGAAAAACGTTTTAAAAGCATAATTTTAAACAAAGTAAACAAGGGGGTTCAAATTACTTTACAAAAACTGTTATGATGGCGTAGTCTTAGCAAACAACACTGATGCCATCTGTAAAATATTTGAAAAAAAAACTGATTCATCTATAATTTAATTTTAAACAATGTCTAACGCTTGACCAATGAGAAAATTTTATTTTTTAAACTGCTTCATCGAATGAACCAACGGAAAATTTCGAAGAAATTTTAAGATTGGAGGCTAAATTTTCCTCTTGCAGCTGTTGTTCAAATTTCAAAATGGTAGAGCAAATGGTTCTGGAATTATAAGAGAGACAACGCACTGATACAGAGACGCTAACTCCATATTTTATTATTATACATCAGTTTATTTAGTATTAAACTTCTATATTGCAAAAACTATTTATTTAAGTATGATTGCATCATTACCTATAAATATTTTTAAATAAAATACACTAGAAAAACAGCTAATTTGTATAGCCATTTAAGAAAATTTTCATTGCGTAAAAACATTTATCTTTTAATGTTTAAATATTCGCTTTTAAAGTAAAGGGTAAAATCACTGATCTACTAGTTACACAATAATATTTTTAACTGTTTGTGACTTCGCTTAAACTATTTAACAACTTTTTCGTAAAATCTTTTTTAATGACAAGTTGGAAAATTTTCAATGTACGCGGATTATCTAAAAAAATGCAGCCATATGTTATAAGAACCTTATATTTTTCTTCTGAACATAATCTTTAAACAAATTTTAAAATAAATAACCGATTTAAAATAGTATTTGAAAGTTAGCATGTGGTTTTGATTATAAAATTAAACTTTATACTTAAATTTGGAAAAATTAATTTTGGGAAATATTGTTTATGAGAATTTTTTAACTGTTATTTAAATTTAAGAAGAAATATTTAATTATTCCTCATAGAAAAGAAGTAATGTATGGAATTTGTAATAACCTTGGATACAATATAGAAACATTTTATTAATTTAAAGATTTATCCAGCAATATACTTTTATTTCGCTTCACGAAAAGTTGAATGCTTTCTCATCAACAAAAAAAGTTGGAATTAAGTTATCATTTGCATGTTTAAGATCACATAATAACCCTAATATTTTAAAATAAAATTAGTAACTATATCATAATTCTAAGTTTTTAAATTCTTCTGCTGCATGGAGATGAAAAAACATTAAAAACATATAATATAATTATTTTCATTTACTAATTATGTTAAGTAATATAACATCAACGATCTTTTTAAACATAATATCATTTGCGTAACAGTTTTAATTTAATAAAACATTGTTTGCCATACGAAAGATTTGTTATATTTATCCGCTATATTTAGAGACAAAGAAGAATCGTTATTAATTCAAATAATAATACGTTCTTAATGACGGTATGTTGAAAGCAGGCGTAAATTAGCAGTTCGATAAGCACATATAAAAAATGTAATAGTTGAACCCATTTTGTAGTTTTTTTCCACAAGCATATGGACTTCTTTCATGATTGAATTGATGCCAATACTTCTATTGGGCGATTAATCATTGGGTAACGCCTATGCACCACGTGACACTGACGTAATGTGTCTAAGATGCTTATTTGATTAAGTGCGACATTTCGTCAATTGATCGAGCCCATCTAATTAGTTTCAGCGCGGTTAAGCTTAGCTAATGATACGGAAAATTTACTACTTCGAAAGAGTCAGAAATCGAATGTCTTTTTAATTTCAGTTCCAATTTTGTTTGACTTTTTCTTCTTTATTTTGAAAAAAAATAAAATCACTTCTACGATACTGATAAACAATAAATATGCATGAATATACTTGGAAATTAAAATTGATGTTGCAAATTTTTTAAATACCTCCGATTCATATAAAATTTTTGAAACATTTGAATTATTATAGATATTTGTTTGAATTCAATTTGATATTCAAACTAAATTATAATTTGTAACCTGAATTTATCTTTCTTAAGGAAAAAATATGTTTGATAATATTAATAGATATCAAGACACATAACCACTTTTACATAAAACCTTAATATAAATGAAGAAATTATTAAATTTTATAATATAAAAGAAGAAAAATAGCGTAACTTATTTTTATAAATTATTTTAATGCTCTTGAAATGCTTGATAAAATGCTCTTTAATAACAAACAACAAGAAGAGTATAAATTCTCAAAACAAAAATGTTAGAAAAACGGAAGTAAATTACATTTCACATATTGAATATGCTTAAGTTAACAGATAGAGGGTGTTAAATAAGGAGTCAATATTGTTCAAGGGATAAGGAGTCAATTTCATCGAAAAAGCCTCAACGTACAACTTTTCTTCGATAGCCCATGCAACTTATCGAATTTTTATAACTATAATTTAACTGCTAAAATTTAATTTAGAATTCTGAATTTTTGACATTAGTTTCACGAAAAACTATTATTATTTATTTTTATTAGAGCTAAAATTTGCGTCAAAAAAGATTCTATGTCTTTATGAGCACTTGATAAAAGTCATAAGAATTATGATATTGACCTGAAACAAATTTTAATAAGCAGTAAAATATGCTTTTTTAAAAGTTACACAAGCTCAAAAAATTTAAAAAAATGAAAAATTGGTTTTTAAAATTAAAAATGTTTTCTATTCGGATTTTTATAAAAAAGAAATATTTTGACCTACAAAAGTATATAAAATGATTAATAATACTTAAATGTTAGCATTAGTGTAAGTAAAATTTTGTCACCGATTTTTGCTTTCACTGAGTGGGTTTCAATATTTCTGCTGTAACCCAGATTTTTTTTTTGTAGCATTGGTTTCAAATTGCTTCGAATAAAGTTGATTTTAACGTGTAATTTTTTCTATAGAAATTTTAAAGCTTACAATGAGAAATATTTAGAACCCCAATTGAGTAATAATAATATTAGTATACAATAATATTGAGTAATAAATAATATTAGTGTATGCATTACTCCATTAACAGAAGGATTTGACTTAAGAGTGGAATTGAAGCTAGACAATATTAATGATACAATTGATTTAAATTCAGATATTATTTCAAATATTCATTAATCATTGCACAATTTTTGAAACAATTTTCTTAAACTATTATGAGTTTTAAAATATTTTTTAGTTTGCAGAATAAAGATAGGGCAAATTATTTTAAAGCAATGAATTCCATCACTATGACGGCCACTTTCACTGAAATTGACTATTGATATAGGACATTAAATTGCATTTTTGTCATATATGCTTGCAGCAGTTAGCATTAGCGTTTATTTTAGAGATTTCTTTATGCTGAATTAGGTCATGTTTTTTGGTTCACTAAATATGGTTGTTTACGGGATATGACAAAAACGTTCTTCTTTCATTGCAGGAAATTTCTCGGCAAAAATGATTAAATAAGAATTTACTTAATTGTTATTTTACCATATTTTAACAAAACAGTCATATAAGCATAAATAAGATGGTGATAAAACTGTTAACTGTGAGAAAAACAGTTTATTAAACTAAATGATAGCCAAGCACCTTTCCAACAAATTGGTATAATTAGGAAGTAATGCTATTATTTTTCATGGATTAAATTGTTCAGTATAATCTCATATTTACACATGTTCTTAGTCCAAAAAACACGTTTTTTGAGTTGTGCCACTATTGCAGCCCATGAGCGATTTGTAGGCTTCTAAAACCATACCACGTCTATCAGATGTGTGAATTTTAGCTTTCACTCTAATGCAATACCGGGCGTATAAGTCTGTTATAATAGAATTGTAATAAAGACTTTTCGAATCAGATATAAGATCAAAGTCAATGAACATTAACAAATTATAAAGTGAAATAATACATTTCTATTTTCTTCTTTTATTTAATGTATTTAATATAATTAAAGATAATGTTATTTAATATCAGTTCAACATAATATTAATAATTTATTTTGATATTTTTCACATAATTAAGCTGACAGACATGAAATGTGTTAACTTATTCTTTTGTTTTATATATTAATTTAGGAATTGTTTCATATTTTGCTAGTAATTTTTAGTTTAAGGCTATCTAACACATTTACCCAGAGAAATGTTTCAAGAAAATCATAAAATTAGCTAAAATAAAGAAATATTGACAGGTGACAAAATTATATACCTTTTGTACTTGTTTCGAAATTAAAAATATTGAAACGGTAAAAAATATATCTATATATTAAATTAGATGGCAAAAAATTTATTAAATTTATTTCAATTAATTTAAAAGCAATGTAATAATATATAATTAAAAAAGTATAATATGGCAAAACAGCAATACGATTACTACTTAAATATACATGTCTACATGAAAACTTACCACATCAATACAATGTAAGAGTGTCAGTCCTAGTTTGATAGTAGTTGTGTAGCTATTGTTCATTAGCGGGTGAATAAGTTTGTTATAATTGCTCATAAGATCATCATAATATATTTTTGCATAGGCAGGGATATGAACTCACAATCGATAAACACAAACAAAAATGATGTAAAATAACATGCATTTTACACTTTTGTTTAATTTGATTATTTAGTTAATATTATTACATAATAATTTAATTTGTTTTGCACTTCAACATAATTTACTTCAATATTTTTTACATAATATAAACAAACAAAAAATAAATTTGTTTACTTTCCTTTTAGTGTTCCTATATTTTATTTTAATCAGAATTTTCTTCTTGATTTTATCAGTAATTCATACTTTACTGCTATTTAACACATTGACTAAACATTTCACAAAAAAAACACATGTCAAAATATCAAAATGTTGACATCAGGAAAAATGATTTGTGTTTATACTTGTTTGAAAATAAAAAAATATTATTTAATTAAAATATTTTATTCACTACATGATTAGCACTCGTAATATTGTATACATATGAATTATAATTATTATTATATACCACAGCATACATATACATGCGTATATAAAAACTTACCACATCAATCAGTTGAGAGAGTTTCAGTCCTAGCTTGACAGTAAGCGTGTCGCTGTTGTTTACTACCGGGCGAATAAGTCTGTTATAACTGCTCATAAGATCGTCATAAAGTCTTTTTGCATCCGGATTTGAGCTTACAATCGAGGAACACAAACAAACAATAAAGTATGCTAATTTTTTCCAATAAAGAATTCCACGAATAGCTTTAATATTCGACATATTAAAGCCAGAACCAAACTTTCACCGAAGGAATTTGAAACACTTTATGGCGCACTTAAGTAATAAACCGAAGACACCTACTGTAAAACAACTGAATAGAAATATTTAATTAAAGGTATTTGCATTCCAAAGCTCGGTGTTGTTAAAATTTTAAGGAAGCTAAGGGTTGATTCCGTTGTTTCAAATTCACGCTTCCATCGGAGAAGACGGCCATTATTGTTTCGATCGCTGCGCCATCTACCGAAGCAGTTGATCTCCAGGAAGAGTAACGGAAATAAAATCCTGGAAATGATTTTTGCATTAGTCGGCCGGAAACTATAGTTCCGGTTAAAAGATGATGTTTTTATGATTCTGTAGGAATTTGATGGGGCGATTTTTACTCTAATGTAGCTTTAAAAAAGTCTAAAAATCTTCAAAAAATAATCTATTAGAATGAGGAAAATTAAAATGCGAATTAGAATTTATGATTTCGATGTAAAACTGAATAAAATTTTTTTCCATGACATAGATTCTTTTTATTATTATTTTTGCAAAAAATAAAAATATATATGCTTGCTTTTATTATACTTATGAGCCCGCACTTGATTTTTTGTGGGCTAAAATTTTTTTTTTTAAATTTTACCATTTTAAAGAAGTGTTTTTAGATAAGAAATTTCGTCAACTTTTGTACTTTTAAGTATTCAATATCAAACGTTAATGATTTTTAAAACTTAATCTATAAGTTAAATAAGAATTAAAATTTTGAAAATATGATAACAGCTAAGGCTATGTTATTGCTATTATGCAAAAGTATTTGCAATACAAATATAAATATTACGCCATTATTTTTTTAATTTTGACTTTAAAGTAGTAGCAAATACGTAGTAAAATGCTGAGTTATTTTACTTTCAGCTACTGCACCTGTATACTTTCAGCTCCGCTACATTGCTACTGTATTTCAATTCAGTGTTATGCAAAATGTAATGTATTGTATAACCGTTGTTAATATTTTCTACTTGTTAGGTGAAATATTTTTTCACTAACTGAACTCTGATTCAAAAATGCATGAAATTAATATACTGAACCTAGTTCTCAAGAAATTCGTTGATTTATATTTTGTGTTAGTAAAATGAACACGGGGATAGAAAATTCTAGTTAAATTACTAATGTACGGTAATGACATTACTGGTAATTTTTTTTTTTAAAAATGCATAATTTCCTTAATAAATACTAAAATGTACGGTATTTAAACAATTCATTTGATAATTTTTCCATTCATGACGTAACTGTTTTACAGAAGTTCTAGGAATGAGGATCGAAAATTATAGTTAGATTTTGTATTACCACACGTTTTGTGAAAAATACAAAACTTGAAGTTAAATTTAACCGAATAAATAATTTTTATCCTCTTCATTTCGTATACTTCTAAACATTTGTTTCGGAGAAATATGTTTTATCTATGTATTATAATTTATTATTGTACCTTTTAAATTAAAAAGAAACTATTAATAAAAATAATTTCTTAACATTTTAAAATTTTATTCTGGTTTAAGAAAAAAATACGTGCGTAATATTTTTACGCATAATAACTATAAATTGAGCAGTATAAAAATTACAGCACTACGAATTTGAACTTTTATATTTAAAATTGGATTTGATTAAAAAGCAATGACGAAATGTTATTATTCAACAAGTCTGTTTCATCATTTTTTATCAACAGAAACGCAATATAAATAAAATCACACAAATCTCCGTAGTTATTAATTTTTATCAAAACTATTCAATTCATACTGTCAAAAAAGTAACTATTAATAATATTTCAATAATAAAGGAAATAAATTGGTTCTCTACCCAATTAATGAAGTGTTTCTTATTACAATGATTTAGAAAAAAACATGATATATGAAGTCTTAGTGTAGTCATGAAAAATCAGCGAAACTTATATTATCAGTCATCTTTATTTGATGAAATATTAAAAAATAATTGCAATTTACACATATAACAAGGGAAATATCATCAAACTAATAAAATTACAATACTTAATTTTTAGGATGTTTATAGTTAAGTACTTGTAAGTAATTTTTAAACATATAACATACGGAATATTCTTTCTAAACTATTTGGATATTGATTTTAAAATTTAAAGGTAACTTCATTAATCTTACTTAAATTCAATATTTGAAGCAAAAAGTCTTGTATTTTTAATTAATTTTTAGAAAATTTTACTTTAAAATTTCTGATGTGAAAGTTACACACCGAATTGTGCTTAAACAAACTTATTTTTCCAAGTTAAAAAAAAGTCTTATTATATAATGTAGTCAATTTTTAAGAATAACCGTTTTTACGTACTAACTTTAAACTTAATGTCTTTTTTAAAGTAGATAGTGAGTTTAAATGAGGAAAATACAATTAAAGACAAACTAATATTTGCAAATACTTTCCAATGAAATGTTAAATGTTTTATTATAAGCATAAAAATTATTGTTGGTTGTTTCAAAGTCTTATTTTCGCGTTTTGATATATTTAATATCTATTACGAAAATGTAGATAATGGGGCATCTAAATAACTGCTGATTCTTAAAAAAAAGAATTTCAAGGTTTGCAGTAAGTTTTTCCCCAGTTCGGTCATAATGACCGATTTTGCACGTTTTTGATTTGTCGCAACTTAGTGATCCTCAAAATCCAACAGATGATAAACCAAACGTTATTTTGTGAAAAATAGACATAAACAGTTCTTCTATTTGGTTGTATTATGAATGACGTCTGTTGTATTATGAATGATCCAAAAGTTTCTTCTACGTAATCAACGTCACAATTCATATGTCAATCAGGTCCGACTCACACGCGTGACGACACCTAAAGGTATCCAATTAAATCTGACCCAAAAATTGATTTTAAGTTAAAATAAACTAAGCTCAATTGCTGTAACATTAACCCCGACAAGCACAACTACATGTTAAGGCTCAACCATGTGATTTAAATGAAATGGTTATGAGTAATCAAGTATTCTTCTTCTCGAGTTGTAAGTACCTTATATCACTAAAAAGAAAAAAAAATGATTACTAGAGTGGAAACCATATAAAATTGAATTTTATTCAATTTTGAAACCAACGATATCAGTAGACAAAGACAATACCCGAAATTTGCAATTATTTGCTATTTTTCATTATTTATTTTAATTATGGTAAATAACTGTAATGAAAAATAACTGGTCTTGAAGTATAGAGGTAATATTTTACATAATTTGAAACTACTTAATTGGCAAAATTCCTAATTTGAGCGTAATCGGTAATATTGTTCTTGAGAAATGAAAATATAAAAATACGCCATTATGAATACGCCGCGTGAAGAAGAAGAAATTGAATTTAACAGCCCAAATAAAATTGATCACTATTCTGCTTTAACTGTTGATGCTATATTTCCCAGATTATGGCTACTGCCTCTGTTTTTTGTAGACCGAAAATCCGATACCGCCAAAAAAAAGCAGATTTATTTAGTGAAAGTACTTTTAACGTCTGATTTTATAAGTTTAAATATCGATTGTTCAATTAAATTTACATGTTTAAAATTAAATTCTCAAATCATTACGAATGCATCTTAGTGCGCAAAAATTAAATAATTATACTAGAAAATTATTAATTTATAGTCGGTTTTATCTTGCGTAATGTGTGTAATAGATTATTTATATTAATCTATCTAGTAGATTTTGTGCACCGAGAAAAAAATATGGTAAAAACTATCAGAATAGGGTAAAAAGATATGGTTACCGTCTCCATGTTAACGCTAAAAGGCTCGGTAATTTTTACTGAGCTGCTCTGGTAATGATTTCAGAAAAATTAACAATAAAATCTGGTTTTAAAACATGTGATAAAATTTGGTATGTGTAGTAATAATTTTCCAATTTTATCATGATACGATACTTTAAAGCACGGCATTAAACCCATTTATGCGGTTAAGTTTACTTTTCACTTTAGTATTTTTTACTAAATGTGGGGTAATAAGAACTATAATTTTGACAACCGAAATTTCCAGTAAACCGTTGTCATATGAGCGGAAAATTACAAAACAAATTATTACCGTATATTTTGGTTTTTATTATGGATGATCTTTGTTTACAAAATTTTAACACATTTTTGAACATTTACTTGAGTGTACAATTAGATGCATTGATAATTTATAAATGGTGCAAATCTATTTAAGAAAGGCCATAACTCCAAATAGTATTTTATTTCCTGCCTCAAACTCATGTCTTTAATCATCAAGAAACAGAAATATCTAATCTGACAGCCATTATTTCCCAGTTTCAGACTTAATCTTTAAAGCTCGAATACATCAAAATTCATTTAATTTGAAAAAAAAGGAGGCAACCTTTTCTAATGAAACGTTAACCGTAAAAAAACTGTTATGGCAACGTTATTTGTCACATCTATTAAACTTCAAGCTGATACTTTGCGTTAAATTAAAACATACGTCATGCGTGAGGAAGCATTTTTGATTATATTGATTAATTCGTTCTCTTTAATCCCCTCCTTAAACGAATTTCTAAATACCTGTTGCTATGGAAAATATTTTCGAAGTAATAAAAATACTTTTTCATCAAGCTTTTAATGGGGAAATGCTAAATTTTCAACTAAAAGCTAATATCATAAAAAATGTTGGTTTTATTAATTCAACTAAAATATAATTTTAATTAAAAAGTAAATGGACTGTAATAATGTTTTTGCTGTTATCCAATATTTTAAAGAGATTTATCATATTGTTTTAATAATGAAGCATGATATAAGGGTTGAATAACATTTTCATTAGACTGTATAAGAAACTGCTGATTATTTGAACATAAAACATTTCATACATAAAAAAAAAATTCCCTTTAGAATTTTTAACGAATGATTTTCTAACTGTATCCAAAATATTTAACTTAAAAAATTAAGAACTTTATTTTAAAAATGCTGTTTTAGTTAGAAATGTTTCAATAATAGGAAGATAATACTATGGAATTTTTACTCTCTCAAAATCATGTTTACGAAAAAATATAAGATACTATTATATTTCCCTTATACTAGTTAAAATATTACATTTTCCAAATAAAAAGAACAAAAATGTACCTCAAAATTAAGATTTGTTATGTGCCTTATTGTAAGATATTATTAAAAAACAGAATCAAAAATGATTAAAAATAATATTTAATGATGTATTTTAGGAACAATAAAAGTATATTTAA